TTGGTATTCTAATGGGGCCCCCTTTCCATTGTACAGTTATTATACAGAAAGGTTCTCTACAGTAGGGGATATGCATTGCGGAACCAGTCATGTCTGAAATTAAAAGTGTACAAATTACCAGCGCCTGAGTGAAACTGTTGATTCTCAACTAATAGAGATGATAGTGCAAGGTATGAAGGGTGCCATGTTCATATTACACATGCAGCAGATTTTTTTAAATTTTGCCGAATGTATTGGTGTCTTACTGGCTTGCATACACTGCTTCAACCATTACACCAAATATTTGTAAATTTCAATGAAACAGCCAATTTATCTGGAGTTTGATGCCTGGGCAGAGTGAAACCTCTCTTTATACCTGGTGGTGGTGTTCACCTAGCAATAAATAGGAAGTTAGTTGACTATTCTAACTTGCATTCTGGGATAGGTAATATTTTTCCTTGGGGCACCATCCTTAAGCCTACCAGGCTTTCTATCTATGCCAACAGAAAGCCATATTTGAGAGATGTCGTCAGCCACAAAGGTCTAAGGTTTTATATACAGTACTGTACTGTAAATACTGCATGAGTTCGCTTACTTGGACTATATGAGAAGGACCTGCCCCCCCCCCCCCCCACCTGATAAGCCGAATATCCGGATAAGCAAAATTCTTACTGGGGAAAGTACAAAAATTAACAAATTCAAAATTAATTGTACCACAACCAATGTAATATGAATTTTCACATACATTATAATTAAAAATATATCAGTATTGTAATTTAAAACAGAAACTTCAGCTTACCTTTTGGTTTGTCTTCTTAATTGATGATACACATCTTTAAGCTAAGGATTCTTGAAAAGTTACATAACTTAACCTAACCTCACACACAACACTAAAATTACTGTACAGTACATGAGCTTGGCAAGATAACCTCTCAAGAAGGTCCTTGGCTTCCTTGTGAGGCCTCACTGGTTGAAGGTCCTGACAGCTGAGTGGACAACGCTTCGGATTCGTAGTCCTGAGGTTCCGGGTTCGATCCCCGGTGGAGGCGGAAATAAATGGGCAGAATTTCTTTCACCCTGATGCCTCTGTTACCTAGCAGTAAATAGGTACCTGGGAGTTAGACAGCTGCTAGGGCTGCTTCCTGGGAATGTGTAACAAAAAGGAGGCCTGGTCGAGGACAGGGCTATGGGGACGCTATGCCCCGAAAATCATCTCAAGCAGGTCCTTGGCTTGTTTGTTAGGACTCACTGGTTCAAGGCCCTTGGCTTGCTTGTGAGGCCTCACTGGTTCAAGGTCCTTGGCTTGCTTGTGATGCCTCACTGGTTGAAGGCACTTGGCTTGCTTGTGAGGCCTCACTGGTTGAAGGTCCTTGACTTGCTTGTGATGCCTCACTGGTTGAAGGCACTTGGCTTGCTTGCGAGGCCTCACTGGTTGACAGTCCTTGGCTTCGTGAGGCCTCACTGGTTGAAGGTCCTTGGCTTGTGAGGCCTACACTGGTTGAAGGTATTTGGCTTGCTTGTGAAGCCTCACTGTTTGAAGGTCCTTGGCTTGCTGTTCTTACCAAATAAGACTCAGAGTTTAGCTGGCCTCCTGTATTTACCTAGTTGTGCTTGCAGAGGTTGAGCTCTGGCTCTTTTGGCCTGCCTCTCAACTGGCAATCAACAGATTTTTTTGTTATTCCACACATACACCCCCCCTCCCCAGGAAGCAGCCCATAGTAGCTGTCTAACTCCCACCCAGGTACCTATTTACTGCTAGGTAACAGGGGCATCAGGGAGAAAGAAACTCTGCCCATTTGTTTCTGCCATCGCCGGGGATCGATCCTCCCCTGTCCCTAGGACTACGAATCCTGAGTGCTGTCCACAAAGCCACCAGGCCCCTCCTGTGTTCATTGGCCTCTCTTATGATCAGTTCTTTGCTTTGCCTCAAGTATTGATACATGTTTCCAACTTCTGGATTAGCACAGTTGGATGAAAAATTAATTAATATATCAACAGAAGACATGAGTAAACTGAATTTCATTGTCTGTGGTGTTGGTTCCTTATTGCCATCTTCACCATTCTCCGTTTTATCGACCTTACATCAGTAACAGACTGGAGAATCTCTTCTTCGATCAAAACACCATATCCTGGGTCATTAGCATTTCTTTCAAGCCATTCATCCACATCCTATCTTTCTAAATTTTCACCAGGATTTCTGAACATTTCGCGGATCTCATCTTTAAATCCTTAAAAATTAATATCTTCCTCGTCCTCTTCATTGTTGAACGTACTTGATTCCTTTACCTCATTCCACACTTTTCCCCAGTTATAAATTGCTTCCTTGATGGAATAGATTTTTCAAATCCTCAAAAGGTTCTTTTAGCCATGTTATCCACACCAAGGTCCTCATCTTCCTCGAGAGGCAAAACCACCAAAATTTCATTGAGCATCTTTTTGATGTACAACCTCTTCGTGGCACAGATAACTCACTGATCTATTGGCTGGATGAGAGAGGTGATATTAGGAGGAAGTGCCATACTTGTTATCTTGCCTTGCATCATTAGTGGCTAAGGTGTCAATTTTGGGGTGGTCAGGTGCATTTTCAAGCAACAGCAAAGCCTGAACTTTGCTTGACCTAACTTTGTGTTTCTTAATTTGATGGCCACAAACTTCCTTGCAAAATACATCATGAAACCAAGAAGGAAAGAGTGCCTGTGTAAACCATGCATTTTTTGAACTATAAAGCACAGGCAGTTCTATAAAACTATACTATAAAGTGAACTGCCTGTTCAAGCAATGTTGCAAGGCTCTTGGTTTCTTGGATTTGCCAATACTTGGCAACACATTGGTGTGTGTGTGCCATCAGCATTGGCACACACCATGGCTGACAGCCAGTCCTTGTTAACCTTGAGGATAATGTGCCTTGGCACACTACCCTCACTCCTCAGAGCTAGAGTTTTTCCAGGCAAACACCTCCAATACAGCCAAGTTTCATCACCATTATATATTTGATAATATAAATTATTAGACAATGCATGTTTTAATTTATGTTTAAATAGTTCAACACTGCTTGTATTTGAGCTCAATTCTTCACTGACACTTTTCATCTTCACAATATTGTGTCTTCCTTTGAACCTTGCAATCCACTCATCACTTGGTTGGAAATCTGGTATCCCAAGGCTGACTGCAAACCTGCTTGCAGCATTTCTTATTTCAGCACTGTGAATTGTCACACCAGCTGTACAGTGCTGTGCAAACCACTTGTACACAGCCTCATCCAATTGTGCATTGTTTCAAGGCTTCAAATTTTTTCTACTGCACCCTCTACTAGTGCTTGCCCCCCCCCCTCACTCCCACTGGTTGAAATGTATTTCATGTACAGTGTATTTATCTCCAGAATGAGTACTGTTGTTATCAGTCATAGTCTTGGGAAAAAATTATCAAAGATCATATGAAAACCAAAACGTTAAGAAAATGTTTCCCTAATGGCACAGCACTGGTATAATGCATAGGTTGGAAGCACATGGCCTGTTTAGCTTGACCAGGTCTAGATGAGTCCACTAGAGGCAGGCTAGGCATGTTACATAGGCCATCAGGCAGAAACAAAAATCCCCAAATTTTAGCAGGAAACTAGTCTTCAGCCTGTGCACATAGTTTTTAAGAAATTTGTATATGTTATAATATTAGATATTTCTTTATTTTTTTACCGTGATGAATTGTTCTAAAATAATTCTTAGTTATTCTATACAATACAGATAATAGATAATTTATATACAATACAAATAATAATAATACTCCACATGCTCCTCCTCCTCCTCCTCCAGGCAGTCCCTCCCAACTCTCACTTGACACACCCTAACCTGAAACCACCCACTCCAGCATGTCCTATACCCCCCACACCTCGAGCCACAGCTGTACAGGACTGATATGGAATGGCCCAATGCCTGTCTGCAGTATCCGGTAAAATCTCCTGTTTTCCGGATATACTGTATGTGCAGATATGGAGAAGTTAGCAGAAAGTTATCCAAACTTATTTAAACACACTGTCTGTCTGCAGTATCCAGCCAAACCTCGAATTATCCAGATTACTATTTGGATATTGCAAAGTTCTGCCAGAAAATTATCTGGATGTGATTTTGGCCCGATTACCCAATTATCTGGTTAAGTGGAATCTAGATAAGCAAGCTCATTCAGTATATAAATAAATACAAATTTATTAATATGTTTCAGTGTTATGAGGTGTAAAGAATAAAGAAAATATATTTATCCAAAGAGTTATAACAGACCTGACAATGAGTTGGGTCATTCAATGCATAAAGTACTGGCCAAACAATAATATTGTAGCTGTATTAAACTTAACCAGATACCCATATATAACTTATAAGAGTTCTGGAATGAACCAAGGCAATTTATTATGAGTGACAAAGAAACACAGTATTGACAAAGTTTGTATTCGTCTCTACAAATACATGTACTGTAATTCATTAACATTTTATGTGGACTCAAAAATATTTTTCAGTAGTTCACTTGCCCTTCAATGCCATCTATTGATGACAGAGGTAATATTTATAACCAAGCTGCTCTATACAGTATTGGGAACTATGTTATTAAACACACAATTGCTTGTCACTCAATTAATGTCCTTTGAAGAAGATGTGAAATAGTCTCGCAGCCAAAGTGTTCGGTGTTAGTTTCAGAACCTCTCCTTGCATAAATATATCTTGTACATATTTCTGAATCTTTATGTTATGTCAGTTTTACTTACTTTCACTATTACAGTGTTTTCAACTCATAATTCTTTATCGCCAATTCACATTCATTTATAATCATAGTTCTGTACCATTAATTTACATTCATTTGCATTCATAGTTCTGTATCACAAATTTACATTCATAGTTCTGTATCACTGTTTACATTACATTCATTACAATTTCTTTACATTTCAACAATTTGCTTATTTATTAAATGTTTTTGCTTATTAATACTGTATCAATACTGTATTGTAAACGTTCATAGCTAATGTGATTTGTAATTGCCAGGGACGAACTTTGCTTACTATCCTGAGAGGACTCGGCTGGTTGTGGTGGACCCCAACCCGCATTTCAAGGCTTACTATGACAATAACAGGAAAAAGTTCCCCAACATACATTCTGAAGACATCATTGTCTCCACTGGTAAATCCATGTCTTGTATAATGCTTTGTGCGTACAGTATTTGTACAAATACTATACACAAATACCATGCACTAAAGAAACCGTGTTTCTGTCTCTGTTAATTTTTTTGCTTTCAGGTATACATTTTCAAACCTCACCAGTCCTTAAACTAATATGCTCGACTTTGCTACATAAATGCCAGGTTATATACTCTGTGAGGCGTATACACGTTGGTGTGTACATGTTGTTGTGTATGCTCTTGTGCTCTTTATATTTAACATGTTGAAGGATTTAAACAAAGGTGCTGCTTGCTGTTTATAGTTGAAGTTTATTGATTTTCTAATTGTTGATGTGTTCAGTACTCTAATTATATGTGAGGTAGTCTTTGAGTGGAAGATTCACAGGTTCATATACTCTAGGCAAGGCATGGATAGACAGCAAGCACAATAATATAGTGTTATCAGAGCCGAGCTAGGTGCATAGAGCCAGTTATCAGAGTCCTGTATATCTATGGATTTAGATAAAATTTTTATATGGCAATTAAACTGACTGTTATTTACATGTATGTTAAGAAATAACTTCTGTTCAAGTCTCAGTTTTGAATATTGTTAATTCTTAGATCTACAGAATTTGATTAAATTCCAAATAATATGTTATATTGAACAACTGTTCAATGTTAGTGAATGGGGGTTGTTGGTACTTTACCTCACTGTAATGTAGTCAGTCATCAGTTTATCAAAAAGTGTAAAGCCAGGAAGCATATGTAATATTGTCTGTGTCACTGGATATTCAAAAGGCGCTGAATTTCATTATGATGCCAATACGAAAACAAAAGGTCAGATTGTAATCACAAAGACACAAGGTGCAGAGGAATAAATGTTTGACAGAAAAAGAGGAAGAGTAAAAGGAACATCATTCAAGAGAGCAATGGAGTTAGGGTTACCAGTAGAAGGTGGAAGAAAAGAGAGGGGAGAAGAGAAAGGAATAACCAGGGAATTGACCAGGACAAGCACCATGCAAAGGCTCCAAGAGACAAAAACAAAGGAACAAAAAGCAAAGCAAAGCAAAACAAACAAAAATTGCAAGATCAAAAGTTACCATTCATTAAATTTGGCATTAAACCACAAACCACATTTGTTATAGTTATTATACCATTGAATAACAAATATTGTATAGCAAAGATTCAGCTATGACAATAAAACAAAAACAAAAAAAGTGTTGAATGTAATGAAAAGGCATTTTCTGGGCGAGTCCCGGAGACTCCCCGGAGCTATCCATGGCCGATATGGATACCCTAACTATTTTGCATCAGTGGATGTGGGTGGAGTTCTAGGCTTACCGGGGACCACAAGCCAGAACCTGGTCCCCACACAGAGGCACGAGGAGTAATGGCCCATAGAAATGCACATGTGATTTGGAGCATTCTATATCTGCCATCGACCGGGACAGGCACCCAGAAAGGTAAGCGCCACAAAATGAACCCCTATTCTGGTTAACAACGAAAATCATCAAACGAGTGGATAGAACTCCCCAAAGGAAAAACAAACAAGCATGATGTCACACGAGCCGTGCCACATGTCTGCGCAGCTCCCCCCCTCCCCTGGAGGGCAAAGGGGGAGCCCCAGACTCTCATGCTGGAGATCCTCACTCCAGTTCTGAGGCCGGATATAAAAAAACACAAAAAAACGCCGACCAGAGGGAGTGCGGGTTGCCAGCAGAGTCTCCGGGACTCGCCCAGAAAATGGTGTTTCATTACATTCAATGCTGGTTTTCTGGGGGAAGCCCCTACAGCTCCCCGGAGCTACCTCACCAAAGACGAAAACAGAGGGATGCATCCGGGAGGCGGTCGGTGCTCATACCACAACACGAAGTCGAGACAACAGGCTGCAACAGCCGACCCAAAGCGACATAGGCCCAACTAGGCCTAGGAACATACACGAGTGAGTGGGCAGCCGGGACCCAGTGCAACCACCAAAACAACCCTGTGCCCGAATGTCAGCCCAAGACTTGCCACCAAAGACGGCAGCAAGTGCAGCAACCCTACGAACACCAAGGGCACAAGGAGAGACCACAGGCCGGTTAGACAGAAGGACCCAGCGGACGACTGGAGACTCCGAACCCGAGAACAGGGAAAGGAAACCGGAACAACCCAAAATGCAGCCCGGCCCCAGAGGCTGTAGCGCGCAAAGAATGGCAGAGAGCTGCAACCAGACACAAGAAGAAGCACCCCGGCCAACCAACCAAGCAGCAACAACCCCAGGGACCCCTCCAGAACCAAAGGGGCCACAACAAACCAAAGGGAATAGAGAAGAGAGCACCCTGCCCTAGAGCAGGATGGCTCAGGTGGAGCATGAGCAGGCTGGAGGTGAACAACACCCGAGACAACTCGTAAACGGTGCAGAAGGAACAACAAAACCGGAGCAATCCGAAGCGGCTCCGCCAGTGCTGCACAAGACAGGGTGGCGGTATGCAGCGAGAAGACGGTCCTAAACCACCATGAGAGAAGGACAAGACCATGACAACAAAGATCACAGTACACCTACAAAGAGACAAAAGGAAAAAGAAGGACCGCCATAAAACCCCATACTGCCGCTGAGACGAAGCATGCAGGTGGGACACATTCAAAAAGTCACCTGATCACCAAACAGATTGGCTGTCAAAGAACCAAAAGGAATGACCGCCAGGTAACCAGGAACCCAAACCCGGCGAGCCAGGGAAGAACCAATCCAGCTAAGCAGACATGACCCGTCCAGGAGGCGCAATTCCCCCCAGCCTCCACCCCCAGGAAGCAGCCCGTGACAGCTGACTAACACCCACGTACCTATTTTACTGCTAGGTAACAGGGGCAAAGGGTGAAAGAAATTCTGCCCATTGTTTCTCGCCAGCGCCCGGGATCGAACCCGGGACCACAGGATCAAGTCCAGTGTGCTGTCCGCTCAGCCGACCAGCTCCCTGTATCTCTGAGCGCCTGGCGCTCTGCAGGCGGCGGGCCAGGTCTCCCGGTGACGTAACAGACCCAGGGGCGGGCACTGATTGGTCGTTCAAGTCATGTGACCTCAGCCAGCCAATCACTGGCCGGTGGGCGCCGCACACAAAATGGTGGATTTGCAGGAAGGGGGCGCCATTTTGTTGTACCTAGGGCGCGACTTTTCCCCTTTACCTACAAACTTATAATACAAATTTCTCCATAAATCAGTAACTATTTCGGTAGCCTTATACATCAAAGGATTCCCTGCATCTCGGAGAACCAGCAGGTAAGCTGATATGACTCATAAATCCGGCATATGGGAGAAATAGGAGAGGGCACCATCACAGCAGAGAATTAGATGTGTCCCCCACATAGAATCCAGAATGACCCCAAGAACCTAGGGGCGAGGACTGGAGAGATAAGATGAGTGAGACCAGTGTATAACCTGAGAAAAAGTGCACTGAATACAGACACACGCTCACACACGACCCGAACAAAACAATCACCAATGGCGCATGCGCAGGACACGTGAGGACCAGGCTGCACCACTCAAGCCCCGGGGAGGATGCCAACAAGGAATATGGAACCATTATTAGTAATGACGAGACAAAGGACAGAAAGAGGCGACTATTAAAATCAGAAACGGCATCGAAAGAGGAGAATAAGAACGGAAGAGTACCAACTAGTCCCTGAAAGGACTGGAGGGAAGCCCCACCGGAAGGCGACAGACGTTCCAATAATGCACTCAATAGCATCCGTACCCAAAAGTCATGCAGGACCTGATAAGACACAGAACGAACCCGGGGAGGGGCCGACGCCCAAAAGGCAACTTGTACGCAGAGGGGGGATTGGGGGGGGGGGAGAAGGAAAAACCCCACTCTTTGTAACAGTAAGCCCCACTCGGAAGGTCGGAAAAACCCAGGCGGGGTCCAACGGGGCCGAAGGCTCCCAAGTCAGTCCCTCCTCAACCCCAGGAACCCCCACGTCAGGCCCCGGGGGCGAGTCGTCCTCCGAAGCCCCGTCCTCAAGAAAAAGCCGGGGTGGCCGAAAAAGCAGGAAGAGAGCGGGCCCACTGGCTAGACCCTGGAACTACGGCTGGAGGAACAGACTCGAAGGCCTCCGACGCAACTCCCGAAACTGCCAGTCTCAAACCTCGAAACCCTGCCCCGACCCCGAAGCCCTCAGACGCCTAGGAGCCGGAAACAGGGGGGAAGGAGGGGGGGGGGTACTGAACGAACCACAACAGGGGAAGAATGAGGGGCACGGACTGAATCAAGGCCGACGCGACCAACACCCCCAAGTCCAGGTCCTGAGAAGCAAAACGGGGCAACCTCGGGGCATCCAGGGAAGCAACCAAACTAGCACGTTGCAACAACCCATCCGGCAATGCACGAGCTGCCTGCACCCGAAGAATGTCATCAACAAATTGAGTGAATGGCGCCACAAACAAGCGAAAAAAGCTCACAGGACTCGGGTTGAATGTGTCACCAACCCAATAGGCAGCATGACAGAGGCAAAAACAATGAGCGTCACCCTGAAACAAGGGGACAGAGCAACCCTTAAACTCGCAGAATGCGAGAGGGGACGCAAGGGTCACACCCAGTGGACCCAAGTGCCCCGTGGGGTTTCCCAGGGCCCTTAGACTGGATCTGCTAAGGGTTATACCAGGCAGGGTACTGCTAACCGGCACCCCAAACTACCAAGCAAACTGCTAAAAGCTGATCTCACGGGACGTGTCCACTCACAAGGGCGAAGCAGGGGGGTGCCATCACACAATGACCCTAATATAAGGGGGAGGGAGAACACGAGGCAGACCCCCCTCCCCACCAGGCAAAAACAAAAAGAAAAGAAAAACCTCGCAAGAGTACAACATACCCGAAGAGAACAGAGCAGGGCGCTGTTAAAGGTGAAAACTAGCTACGCAGTACCCCGCGCCCCACCATTGCAACAACTACTACTTACCCCAAGGCAACAAGGGTGAAAACCCCCTAACACACTCAGGGTGGCTAAATGCCAAGCAGCCAAAGGCCAACAGAGGTAGACCCAAGGTGACTTGAGGAAGGGAACCCCAAGCCCCAAGGGCGGTACTTACAGGGCACTCAGGGAAGGTGACCCTAAGCACATGCAGCCCGAGTACCTGAGAACATCACTCCCAGCTCACATGACCACCGTAAGAGCAGCACTGAAAACAAGTAACAGCACTGAGAGAAGACTGGAGCTGGAGCCACACGACTATGCACGATCCTATCAGCCGAGGAACTGAGGTGAGGATCGCCGGTGTGAGAGTCTGGGGCTCCCCCTTCCCCCTCCCGGGGAGGGGGGGAGCTGCGCAGACATGCGGCACGGCTCATGTGACGTCATGCTTCTTTATTCGTTTTTCCTTTGGGAAGTTCTGTCCACTCGTTTGATGATTTTCATTGTTAACCAGAATAGGGGTTTGTTTTGCGGCTCTTACCTTTCTGGGTGCCTGTCCCGGTCAATGGCAGATATAGAATGCTCCAAATCACATGTGCATTTCTATGGGCCATTGCTCCTCGTGCCTCTGTGAGGGGGGCCAGGTTCTGGCTCGTGGTCCCCGGTAGGCCTATAACTCCACCCACATCGACTGATGCAAAATAGTTAGGGTATCCATATCAGCCATAGATAGCTCCGGGGAGCCGTAGGGGCTCCCCCTCAGAAAATTAATGATATGAGACAAAGAGAAGGGCACAGAAATAGGTAAGATCAGCATCAGAGAAATGAGGGGTTAGGGGGCATAGGTAGAGTCAGCAGAGATGGTCAAGCCGAGAGGGCTGTGGTAAGGGCACAGATGAGTCGACAGGGTCTTGTGAAGAAAGAGGCACAAGCAAGGGGTGGTGCCAAGGAAGTCAAGGCTCAAGGACAGAAATGACATTGTGGTCCAAACCAGGGGCAGTATCAGAGGCAGGGACAAGGGTGCCGGGAACTGCTATAGCAAGATCGGATGATTCCGCTTTTCAAAACAGGAGGAGTTGCAAGAACAAGAACGATGGGCTGAGTTGGGAGAAGTATTAATGCCTTCTTAACTGTCAAGGAGGAAGTGGGAAAGGGACCAGACTTACATTTTTGAGCGACACATATCTTGCATCAAGGTACTATGAGATAGCTGGTACTGTCTTGGGCAGGATGGGAAAACAAGAGCGGGTGACAGGAGGATGGTTAGGTGGAGGGTAGATATTGGCCGGGATGGTTATATGTTGGTAAGGGCCAAAAGACAGAGGAGGAGGACTCAGGAGGAAGATAGAACCAAGAGTCAGAGGGGTTCAAGTGGAGTGGATAAAGAAGAATGAAGAGGACAGGGCTGTTAATATATAGACAACTACCCTGTCTTGTTTTCTTCACTGTTAATTTTTTCTTTCAAAAGGTAATTACTTGTTTTATTACACCTAATCTTTCTGGTCTGCTTCCTCAGTTCTGCATAGGTCTCTTATCCTCAAACTCCCCTCACCTCATTCAGATACTGGTTTCACCATGTCAGCATGTCTCCGTGGTGTAGTGGTAAGACACTTGCCTGGCATTCCGTGAGCACTTTGTCATGGGTTCGTATCCTGGCCGGGGAGGATTTACTGGGCGCAAATCCTTAAATGTAGCCTCTGTTTAACTCAACAGTAAAATGAGTACTTGGTTGTAACAATGATTCTTTGCGGCGGGGATCGTATTCCAGGGACCTGCCCGAAACGCTATGCATACTAGTGGCTGTACAAGAATATAACAACTCTTGTATATATATCTTTAAACAAAAGAAAAAAAATGGATTTCAGAAGCCTGGTATGATCCTTAGACTTAATGTTACCAGGGCATAAGCACCAGTAAGCTATCAAGGGGCCTCCTTAGAAATCTATATCTGATGATGTCATGCAAATTTTACAACAGAATTTAGGATATGACCAATCTTTGTGGTTAGGTGTTATACCACATTGGAAGAGTTCTAATGAAACGTTGAAGATTTAATCACTTTGAAATTTCCACAGGGGAGAACATAGACATGGTTGCAGACAACAGCATTGACGTGGTGGTTAGCACACTTGTTCTCTGCTCAGTTGATAACATCAACAAGGTCATTCAGCAGATCCTCCGTGTACTAGCTCCAGTGAGTAAAATGGCCTCATTAGTTCTCTTAATCTATATTACATTATAAATACCTATCCAGATAATGTACTGCATTATTTCATGGTGTCAGGGACAGGAAGCCTGTACTTACACTTATCAAGGTCCCCATGGGTCAACCATTGACCTTTGCCAGAGTACAATGCACAATAATTGCCTAACTCCTGGTACCTATTTACTGCTAGGTGAACAGAGGCTTCAGTTGATGAGAAATGTATACCATTTCTACCCCACTCGTGTATCGAACCCAGGATTCTAGATTGTGAGTCGAGTATGTACACCACTGTTCTGTAGGACCCATAGCGTCTCTATTGACTCAATTATACAGTACGTTAATTCAATGAAAACTTGTCACAAAGGTTTGTGGACTAAGTGGTGAAAGGCAGCATGACTCAGTCATCAGAGAAAGCAAGGTAAAGAAACCTTCCTAAAGCACAGGAATCTGACTGTCCGTTCTGAACAGCAAATGTATGGAGTATGTCTAGCACGTTCAGTGGGCATGTAGACAAAATTTGTTATAGTTTTGTCAGCTTTTTTGGTGGGCGATAATGAGTTGAGGTAGTTTGCAGTGGTTGAGCCCCATATATACAGATATCGTACTATAAGTTAGTGTGAGAAGAGCAGTGGGGACATACAGATACTTGATTTGTTAAAATTATGACATCTAATAATAATAATAATAATAATAATAATAATATACAGCAATTCACTCTCTGGAATAGGCAGCCAGAGTGTATTCATACACGGTGAAAGCATGAATATTGCTTCCCAGAGGATCGAAGCAAACAGTTTCAGGAGGGCAGCCAACGTCGAAGCAGCAGAGGCCAAGATTCCCGCACGAGGGATCGCACTGAGCATAGCAACATCCTCCTTGAGCCAATCAGAAAGAAGCTTGAGGAGGCTCAGGCATGACTAAAGCCAAGAGCGAATGGGAATGTAGTTACACAAAACCCACATCATGGAAAGGGGCAGGAGCAAAGAGGCAAACACTGAGAGGCTCAAAAGAACCCCCTGAAAAAGACCCACAACACTGAAGACACCTCATGCCAGTCAAGCCTGTGGGTAAAGCAAAACCCGTGCCAAGCCCCAAACAAGAACGAAGGACAGTCCTCTAGCCAGGACCCCTCTGGAATCTCGTAAAGCACCCAATACAGGGAAGAAAAACTGAACTCAAATGAACTTGGGTCCATGACTGAGGCATAGACTAAGTTGCAAAGGAGGCACAAACTAACAGCCTCCCAGGCCTCTGCCGAGGAAACCCTGGAGGAATGAAGCCTCCATAAGGATGAATCCGAGAAACCCAAAGGTACATGGGAACGAGCCCTGGGGAGGAGCCGTATCTAACTCAAATTCATACAGGGAAAGTGGATAGGAAAACCCCCCTCACCCTGCAACAAAAGACACTCCACAGAAGGCACAAGGGCCCACAAATGATCAAAAGTTACACAAGAGCACCAATCCGAGTTCCTCCTAGCCCCTGAAATTGCAGAAGAGAGCCCCGGGGCTGAGCTCTCATCCATGCCCACCTCCTGAGAAAGAAAAGTGGAGCCCAAGGGAAAAGCTTCAAAGGAAGGGGTCTGCTGGGAAGACTCGGAAGCTTCTCGGATCTAGAGAGCTCAACTGCCTCTGCCCGTATCAGAAGTGGCAACCCCAGATACACTCAAGCCACATCCCGAGCGAAACCCTGCCTCGAGTTCAAAACCCTCAGACGTTACGGAGCTGGAAGAAGGGGAAGAAAGGGGTGAACTATGCACACCTGGGAAGGAAGAGGTGTGGACAGACCAAGGCCAAATTGACCAACACATCCAAATCTGAGACCCTAAACACTAAGCGGGACTTATCTGGGGCATCGAACTGGACACAGAACTTAGACCGCTACAATTCCAAGAACCTATAAATGCAAAGCAGTCGCTACCTGAAACCTCAAAACCTCAAGAGGCGAATGTATGAGAAGAGCCACATGGGGGGGGGGGGGAGGAGTCCCACATGACTCAGGGTCGAAGGCATCACCAACCCAACAGGTAGTATGACAGAAGCAGAACAAATGCACTCCAGGTGGCACAGGTGATGAACAACTTTCAAATTTGCACAAGGCAGGAGCAGACTTGAAAGAGGTATCCATAGTATAACAGAGCCCATGGGGGCTTTCCAGGGCCTGCAGGGTGAATGAGCCCTGCAGGAAGCCAAGACACTGGGAATGCTATGCCAGCCACTGAACCCTTCTGGAACAGGCAAACCCCTAGCTGCCTGAAGCCAATGGAAAAGTCATGGGGGTGACAAGGGGTTCAACCACACACACCCTAGAACAAGCCTAATAAGACGAAAGGAAAAGACTATCCCCAGTACAAAATGGCAGAAACAGGTGAAGAAAAAAGAAAAAACGCCCAAAGCCCTCAGGATCAAACTGCTGAGAAAGAATACCTAGGGAGAACATAGCACCACCCAAAATATAATCAAGGTCCTACCAAGGTGTGCTGATTAAATCATGCGAACTACAGTGCATGATTCTGTTCAACAGAAACACTCCCAACCTGAGGAAAGACAGACAATCACAGACCACTGGCTTACCAGAATGGGCGAAGGCGACTGCGAGGAAACCCTCTGAAGGAAGTGTCCTAAACATTCTAGGGAAGAAAACCCTGACTGCACAAGGGCAGCACTCAAGCACGCATAGGCAAGATAACCCTGAGCACATGCAGCCCCAAGCACACTAAACTCCTGGCTCATGCTATGCAAATGTGTATAAAAATAGCCTCAAAGCAGGGTTGCCAGAACCAAGTGGCCAAAAGTAGTGAAATGTAATTACCTAAGTGTAATTACCAAAGTGTAGTTACAGGATGAGAGCTACACTCGTGGTGTCCCGTCTACCCAGCACTCTGTCATACCTGGTTGATGGGATTCTGGGAGTTCTTCTACTCCCCAAGCCCGACCCGAGGCCAGACCTGACTTGTGAGAGTTTGGTCCACCAGGCTGTTGCTTGGAGTGGCCCTCAGGCCCACATACCCACCACAGCCCGGTTGGTCCGGCACTCCTTGAAGAAAACAATCTAGTTTCCTCTTGAAGATGTCCATGGTTGTTCCGGCAATATTTCTGATGCTCGCTGGTAGGACGTTGAACCGTGGACCTCTGATGTTCATACAGTGGTCTCTGATTGTGCCCATAGCACCTCTGCTCTTCACTGGTTCTATTCTGCATTTTCTTCCATGTCGTTCACTCCAGTACGTTGTTATTTTACTGTGCAGATTTGGGACCTGTCCCTCCAGTATTTTCCATGTGTATATTATTTGGTATCTCTCTCATCTCCTTTCTAGCAAGTACATTTGGGGAGCTTTGAGACGATCCCAATAATTTAGGTGTTTTATCTCATCTATGCATGCAGTATATGTTCTCTGTATTCCCTCTATTTCAGCAATCTCTCCTGCTCTGAAGGGGGAAGTGAGTACTGAGCAGTACTCAAGACAGGACAACACAAGTGATTTGAAGAGTACAGTACAACCAATGTGATGGAATCTCTGGACTTGGTTCTCGTAATCCATCCTATAATTTTTCTGGCTGACGCAATATTTGCTTGGTTTTGCTCCCTAAACGTTAGGTCGTCAGACATCATTATTCCCAAATCCTTGACATGCTGTTTTCCTACTATGAGCAGATTCGATTGTGTTTTGTACCCAGTATTATATTATATATTATATATATATATTATATATATATATTATATATATATATTATATATATATTTTATATTATATATATATATATAGTTATATATTTATATATATATCATTCATCATATAACGATTTGAAACTACAAAGCGTTATAATAATATAATCCCAAATCCTTGACATGCTGTTTTCCTACTATGGGCAGATTCGATTGTGTTTTGTACCCTGTATTATATTATATATTATATATATATATATTATATATATATATTTATATTATATATATATATTTATATTATATATATATATTTATATATATATCATTCATCATATAACGATTTGAAACTACAAAGCGTTATATAATAAAGAGTGCTGGGTAGACGAGACACCACAAACGTACCTCTCATCCTGTAACTACACTTAGGTAATTGTATTCACTACCTTTGGCCACTTGGTTCTGGCAACCCTGCTTTGAGGTTGTTTTTATACACATTTGTAAATGATTGTAAACAGCTGGTAATGCAATTAGGCTCCTTATAGCACAAGCAGTCTACAGAAAGCCAAAAGTAGCGAATGTAAACAGGTGGTAACACAATTGGGCTCCATAAAGCCCGAGTGGGTTATAAATAGCCAAAAGAGGCAACCCTTCTTCAAAGGCAAAACTCCACTTAGCTGACGAAAGGAGACTGGAGCCAGAGCAACTAGGACAACTAGCAAGCACCATTAGAATATAACTGATTCATGGGGGCAGTCGGCTGCCCCAGTCTGCCTCCCTCCTTTTTCAAGGCGAGAGGGGAAGGTAGGCCACTCTAGCTTGTGCTAGTTCCACGAAATTTTGATGGTTTGTTTTCATTGCTGGGGAAGTTTTTTCACAATTTTGAGGCTGTGGGCTCGTTTTAACCATGCAGTAGTCTGTTTTGTTTTACCTACCTTTCTGAGTGCCTTCCCTGGTGGTCACAACAACCACTGCTCCCTGCGCCTCTCTGAGGAGGCCAGGATCTGGCTCGTGGTTCCCAGTAAACCAATAGGACTCAGTGACTGATGGCACCTAGTATGGCACTAAATCAGTGATAGTAGCTTTAGGGAGCCTAAATGGGCTTCCCCATTAAAGTTCCTAGATTTATTGAATTTTGAGTCCCCCTTCCCTTTGGTTGCCTTGGCAGGGCCAGACCAAATGATTTCATGCGCCTTATTCAGCCCACTGGCCAGATGGTCTCTACCCCTGGTGTAAATCAATATGCTGTAAATAACTGACTGGCCATGGTACCTCCTGCAAAATAATTGAAATATTGTATTTACTTTCAGGGAGGAAAGTATTACTTCTATGAACACATCAAGGAATTTGATACAGAACATTCCACAAGACAGAAAATTCAGATCTTTCTGACATCAACGGGGATTTGGCCTTTTCTCTTTGATGGGTGTTACTTAACACGAGACATGCTGGAAGCCATCCAACAAGCAGGTTTCTCCAAAGTGCAGGCCCTACGCTTCCACAGCCCCGTTGATCACTTTGTCTTCCAGCTGGTCAAGCCATGCCTCAAGGGTGTAGCAGAGAAATAAATGAATGAGAAAAAAATAATTGTGAGTGGGGAGAAGTAGAAAAGAACAAGGGAAAGTACTTGATATGCAGCAACTTAGAGTTGCACAAGATGTTCATTATAATCAAATTTCATAATTTAGGTAATCTCTAATCTGTTTGTTGACATCTGTTACCCACAGCCCTGCAAGAACAAATCACCAACTATTTGACTGAATAGGGTCCTTTATGCAAAATCTATAGGAAAGGAACTGATTTCATCACCCAATCAAATCATTAGTCTTCAGCTGGCAGTCTTGCTCTTGACAAATGTCAGATTTGACAAATTACAAGGGTAGCATGAATCATTTATAACAAACTAGATTGGGGTACCTGGCAGTGTCCAGGTCTATCTGGTGCCTAGGCCTTCCCCAAACACGTTCCTATTTTTCCCCTACACACATCCTTCCTGTCTCTTCACACACACCTTCCCTTCTCCCTCATCGCTGTGTAACAATCTTCAATAATCACTGACTTCATTTATGTAACCATCTTCACACAACCTACAATTCAGGCATGTCAAACTGAGGATACCCCGAGGGTCATATGGGGTCACATTTGTGTTGTCTGAGGGCCACACATGACAACTAATTGAAGTCATTTAATAAAAATTATTGCAGAATATTTGTATTAAACTTAGAAACATACATACAAAGCAGTCCTTTGTGCGGGCTGAAGGTGTGCTCGTTTGACATGCCTAATCTACATCATTCCTCCCCTCCACACACACACACACACACACACACACACACACACACACCTCCCCTTTTCCCACCCACACACCCTCCCCATGTCACCAGCACACCCTCCCCATGTCACCAACACATCCTCCCTATACCCCCCCCCCCCCACAAACACTTTCCCGTTTCCTCCAACATACACTCCTTGTCTCCTCCCAGATCACGCAAGATTTTCCTCCATCTCCTCCATCCCTGCCCACAAATTTCCTTCCACATTATGCTATACTTTCCAACATCAGAATTGCTTTGAAATAAATGTACTGTATATGGATGGTGAAATATTCAAGAAATTGTTCATGACCTTTGTGAGACCAAAGTTGGAATGTGCAGTGGTTTTATGGTGCCCACACCTCAAAAAGCACATTAACAACATGGAAAAGGGAAAAGACGTGCTACTAAATGGCTTTCAGACCTGATAAACACAAGTTATGAGGAGAGATTAAAGGCATTACATAAACCAAAACTAGAAGATAGAAGAAATAGAAGTGATATGATCACTACAAAAGTAGTAACAAGAGTAGACAAAACTGACAAAGAATTTTGTTTAGAAAATGGCAGCTTCAAGAACAAGAGGTCATGGTTTCAAACTAAGGAAGCAAAAACCAAATGCCCAAAACATTACAAAGTTGCACCACACCAACAATAAACACTCCTTTTTGAAAGGCTTACCAAGGACAAGGGCCACCACAAGCAAGGAGAGCCCCTAAAGAAGTATATTCTAAACACACCAAGGAAGAGAACCCTGACCATGCAAGGGTAGCACTTCAGGAGCACACAGGGGAAGGGAACACTGAGCACATGCAGCTCCAAGTACATTAAACTCCTGGCTCGTGCTGAACAAACATGCACAAAAACAGCCTCAAATGCAATCACCACTTAGCTAAAGACAGGAGACCTGAGCCAGAGAGAGCTGAGGGGGAAGAGGGGGGGCAACCAGCACCATGCAGCATCAGCATGGGAACTGGTGGCAGTCGGCTGACCCAGTCCGCTTCCCTCCTTCCCCCAAACGAGTGAGGAAGGTGGGGGCGATCTAGCTCCCACTAATTTCACAAATTTGCAATCATTTGTTTTGCAATCAAACAAAGGGTGCGAGTCCGAGAGTCCACATGAGTGGGCTCACCAGAATTCAGAAGAAATAGAGAAGAAGCGAGGACAAACGGTTCGAGAAGGCGGCCTCGGGTGTTTGTCAGAACATCACCCCAGAGGATATGTCGACAGTTGAAATTACCCAAAAGGAGCACCGGCTCTGGCAAGGAGTCCGGGAGGTGCTTAAGATCAGGAAGGGAAAGTGGGACATTTGGGGGGAGATAAATGAAACAGACTGTAAACCATTTATCCACAAAAACACAGGCAGCAGAACAATGGATAGATGATGGAAGTAGTAAGGGAATGAAGGGAACATCAGAACGAATTAAGAAAGCAGTAGAGTTACGGGCCCCAGCAAGAGATAGGGAGAAAGAAAGAAAGGAATACCCACAAAAGTGACCAGGACGAGCACCAAGCATTGGTTCCTGGAGACAAACACAAAGTGGTGAAAACTGTGTAATTAGAAGTTGGAGTTCATGGAAGTTGGCATAAAATCCATGAATATTCCACTGAAGAATAGACATTATCAAAGAGAAAGGACAGTAACAGAGAACAATAAAGAAACGAAAGTAAAGAAGAACACAGTTTATTAAAGAATCTCAGGATCAGGGTAAGGATCAGGAGCCGAGTCAGCAAAATCAGGGTTAGGGGGGCATGGGTAAACTTAGTAAGGATGGAGGGAAGGGAGCGGTAGGACAGACCAGAAGCGGACTGATGGGATCCGGAGGAGGAGGAGGAGACAGCTGAGAAGGGCAGTCAAGGACAGCTGAAGGAGGGGGGGAGCAGGGTTGGGAAGAAAGAGTGGGGGGAGCAGGATTGGGAAGAAAGAGTGGGGGAAGATGGGAAAGAAGACATAGGAGACATGGTGGATTGGGTAGGAAGGGGGAAAACTTCAGATGGAGAACCAGGAGGGAGACCTTTCAGGACAGGATGCAAAAAGGAATAGGGGAGGAGGTGGAGGGCGTGTTCGGGTCTAAAGCCTGGAAACGGTTGTGAGACTGTGGAAGGTGGGAAGGATGAGGAGAAGTAGAACGCAACACGCGAGGATAGGATACACCCGCGAAAGGGGTGAGACGACGAACTTGGCATCTCGCTTCAGGAAAGGTCAGACGATCACGGTGTTTCAAGCTGAGGACGGCTTCCTCGAGTTTGTAGTGTATACACGAGCACGAGAAGGTAGGGTGGGCCTCACCGCAATTGAGGCAGTGAGCCTGGGGAGAAGTGCACTCCGACTTAGAATGATCATTGTCCCCACACATGGGGTATAGATACACAGTACTTATACACTTGAGGATACCGTGCCCAAACTTCCAACACTTATTGCAAAGTCTAGGAGAGGGAATGTACTCCTGAACGGAGCATCTGGCACCGGCAAGAATAATAGAGGGCGGAAGGGCCCTACTATCAAAGGTGATTTTTACAACTCGAAGGGGCTGACGCCGACGACCACGAGGGGGTTGAGTAAACGTGTCCACCTGGAGGACAGAATGGCCTTGGGCTTCGAAGATATGTTTAATATCCTCATGGCAGTCTTTGAGGTCCCTAACACCAGTTGCAACATGGTGTGGGAGGATAACAGTGCCAACACTGGCATTTAACCGAGCGTTTTTGGAGACCCGAACAGGGGTCTCCCCAATACAGGACAAAGCGGCTAAGTGAGTAGCTGCATCCTGAGGAATAGCAGCGACGACACATGTACTGTAACTGGTCGGGTTAAAAGTAACAGAGGCATCTACTGAATCAACAAGGTGTTTATGGAGGGAGAAATCGTCAGGAGTAGAATCCAGATGGTGGAGATCAAAGTATTTAGCCCATGTAGCGGGACCAAACAAGGCCAAATAAATCCCATCACAATGGTTGTACTCTTCAAGTCACTTGTGTTGTCCGGTCTTGAGTACTGCTCAGTACTCACTTCCCCCTTCAGAGCAGGAGAGATTGCTGAAATAGAGGGAATACAGAGAACATATACGGCACGCATAGACGCAATAAAGCACCTAAATTATTGGGATCGTCTCAAAGCCCTCCAAATGTACTCACTAGAAAGAAGACGAGAGAGATATCAAATCATATACACCTGGAAGATACTGGAGGGCCAAGTACCAAATCTACACAGTAAAATAACAACGTACTGGAGTAAACGATATGGAAGAAAATGTAGAATAGAACCAGTGAAGAGCAGAGGTGCCATAGACACAATCAGAGAACACTGTATAATCATCAGAGGTCCGCGGTTGTTCAACGTCCTCCCAGCAAGCATAAGAAATATTGCCGGAACAACCGTGGACATTTTCAAGAGGAAACTAGATTTATTCCTCCAAGGAGTACCGGACCAACCGGGCTGTGGTGGGTATGTGGGCCTGCGGGCCGCTCCAAGCAACAGCCTGGTGGACCAAGCTCTCACAAGTCAAGCCTGGCCTCGGGCCGGGCTTGGGGAGTAGAACAACTCCCAGAACCCCATCAACCAGGTATCAACCAGGTAAGGCATTGTAAGTATTAGTATGGGAAGGGATCGTGCGAGTGCGGCCATGGCGGGGACGGCGTTGAGAACCCCCAGAGAAAGAGGGGGTAAAAGGCACAGTAGTCACAAGGAGAGACGGAGCCGTGCCAGGGGACGAGGTGGTCACTACTGAGGGCTGGGAACTCGACCCTACCTCAGAGGAGGGAGGGGAGCTGAGGGAAGTAGCCAAGAGGGTCAAAGGAGGAGCAAGGTCGGGGCCCAATGCAGCGGGGGCTACAGAGCATGGTCTTCTAACACAGTCCGACTCGGGGGCTTGGTTGCCCACCCCACATGCCTGAGAAAGTACAAGGGAAACATTATCTGACATAAAAACGAGGAAAGACTTTCATTCACATATGTGCCCCCACACCCACCATTGAGCCACAATTAGAGGCAGGACACCCAACAAGAAGCTATCGCCGATCATGCCGGGGTCCCCCAGGGATGCGTCATGAGTATACACCCCACAAATGCCACCTTAAGAACCGTCAGTCCGTCCAGATCGGGTTCAGTGACGAAAGGAGGATTGACAATAAAAGGGTCCCCTCGTTAGAGACATTGGGTACTACAGTTCTACGGGTGCAAGAGCATGCCTCCCCAAACACCCGGACGTCGAAATAAAAGAAGGCTGAAAGAAGAATCAAAAAGGCAAAAGGTCGGCAGGGAATGAAAAGGA